TAATTTGTATTAGGTCTATCAGGGTTGTTACACTGGTAATTTCGTTCTATTTATTCAGTCAACACTTGTATGTCTTAGGGGGTCAAGTAATTAATGCTTTATTTCATTTGATTATGAAAAGTGTGAAGATAAATGTAGCAAGAAAGGAGAAAATGTATGACTGGACAGGGAATCAATCAATCAAACCCGGGACCCCTGCATCAGTAATCAGGTGCTCTAGAAAGCTATCCAGGCTGATATCCAATGTCCAAACCATTACATTCCCCCTCCTTAAATGGTCTTTCTTAGCCCTTGAACACACAATCCAAGTTCCTATTAGCCCCTGGAAGGACTTTCATCTGCAATTCCAGGAGTGGTCAGCGGCATCAAATCTGTAACAGGGAAGCAGAAAATGTATGACTGGACCAGGAATCAAACCCAGACCCCTGCATCACTAGTCAGGTGCTCTACTGACTGAGCTATCCAGGCCAATATCCATGGCCCAAATCATTACAGCTTTATCCTTTCGAATGAAAAAGATTTGGCTTCTTTACATAAATGGACCAAAAATACATGTCCCAAGAAACCTTGACCATATCAAAGAAATCAATACTATATGTAAACTTAAAGTAAAATAAATTGTATCATTGCAGTTCTGATATATAGGATCTTGTAGTAAGTGCTGTAGTTAAAATAATCTAGTTGTATCTCAGAACAGGCCCTAGCCACAGTTTGAATGCTCCCATTAGTCCCAATGTACTTATGTATCAGAAAATTGTAGAATTCAGATCTGTATTCAATAAATAAAGTTGCATTATACAAAATAACTATAAAATTAATCATAACACACCTTTTGAAGATTGTGGATACCAATGAAAAAAAAATTACTGTAAACATATTACATTTGGCTGTGTATTCTTTTTAGCGCCTTTCGCGGAAAGAAACTTCTGCTAAATCAAGTACACCGCTAAATGACTTGCACATATATGCATGAAAGAGAACATTAAGAAATGCGCTAAATCAAATCTACGCTAACTTGTTAAAAAATCAATTTCCACCAAATATCGTACACGCCAAATAAAATACATTTACAGTAATTCATATAAAAACATGTTCAAGAATTCAAAACTTTTTTTCCCCAACCTTTTTTACCTGCTTCATTGCCAATACACAAAACACATTGTATTGATATAAAACTGAGGCCATAGGACATTTATAATTTTAGCAAAAGAACATTTTATCCATAAGTGCGAGTATTTCATGGCAATTTAATGTGTCAATTCTAATTAGTAATAACATCTCCAATTTGAACTTGTAATGAAAAAATATTAACATAATCTCTGGCATTCCTTAAGATGAATCCTCTGTGCATATAACTGGGATTTTGTTCAAATAGGTGTAGTATTTTTTCATTTTTAAGTTATAGCAGAAATATAGTACTGTAGATTCCTAATTCTACGCGAGGGATTAATTTCCGCGTTATTTCGCGAGAAGCGTCACTCGCGAAAAAATGTTACTCGCTTTTATTTTTATGATGCTGAAATCTATGTAAATTCTGTTGTTCAACCATCCATTCGCGAATTATAATTCTCGCGATTTGACGTTAAAGACCCAGTTTGCGATAAATAAGGAATCTACAGTATTTTGAAAAAAATTCTGTGTCTTAATCAAGAAAAAACATATACTACTGCAGTACTGGTAGGCTGAAATGCTCCAGGACTAACTGCTTTTCTGGGCAAAATGACCATTTTCTTGGGAAGATCCAGGGGGATATTAAAATTGTTTAATCTTTCATGTCAGAATTGATTGCCTTAGTGACAGAATGTCTAACACTGAATGCTGTGAAGAGATTAAACAATTAAGAGAAGTGGCAAAAACTGGTATGTTATATCTAACAGTCCCTTTAAAGACATAACTTCAAGACTAAATAATCTTCATCTAAACACAGTCTAAAGAAGACCATCATTACAAAATAAATATAATTAGGTGAAAGGGTTAACCTAGCAACCCAAGCTTGTTGTAATGTAAGTATTGTCTACATTGCTCCCTCGAAGATTGAAAAGACTTCTTTAGTTTATAAATATGCTCCATGCATTGGGACTAGTTAACTGAGTTTTTCAGCTTTGAGGAGGCAAAGCTACTGAGGCATAGTGCGGTATACAGTTATGAGAAACTTTCATTCAACTAGGTAGTTCGTTATTTGTGTTATTTTCTGGGAGTGTGTAGATGAAATAGTCAGTGTCCGATAAAACCAATACTGTGTGGAAAGTTTACTGAGGCTTTCTTGTGAAATCATAGAAAAATATGTAGTTTAGTATTAAATTGAAGGCTTTTCTCTTTTTTGTTAATTAATGAGGTATAAAGAAAGATACCAGTAGTTGGACACTAGGGAAAAAAAAAAGAGAGAGATTAAAGATTGAATTATTTCTTCTGTTTATAAAATACTGACAGACTCAGGTTATTATTTAACCACAATGTAAATAAAATTCCTTTTCAATCTTGTAGACAATATCAGAAAGTAAACTGAAAGCTTTTGAAGTAGGGACAATGAATGTGGGTAAAAAGTCACTGTCCAAGCGAGAGCAAGAGGAGTTACGGAAAAAGGTAAGATTATTTACTTATATCGGAATGGGACAAGTATCCACACAGTACCATATGTACACTGGCAGGATAAAATTATATACAGCAGAATGTTAAATTTGTCAGGTCATGGCCTCAAGAAAAGAAAAATGGTATCTCTGTATAAAATGTATTATTTTGATCTTTAACAGCAAGATGAGAAGGCAACAGCTGAAGTTTACAAGGAGTTTGTGGCATCATTTGATGATGTTGGGAAATTGAACAAAACTTGGATCAAGGGTGGAACTTTTAATCCAGACAAAAATTCAAGTGAGGTTTTTTTATTAGCTCACCTGAGCCGAAGGCTCAAGTGAGCTTTTCTGATCAAAATTTGTCTGTTGTCTGTCGTCGTCGTCGTCGTTGTCGTTGTTGTCGTCGTTGTTGTCGTTAACTTTTCACATTTTCGACTTCTTCTCAAGAACCACTGGGCCAATTTCAACCAAACTTGGCACAAAGTATCCTTGGGTGAAGGGGATTCAAGTTTGTTCAAATGAAGGGCCACGCCCTTTTCCAAGGGGAGATAATCATGAATTTGTTAAAAATTAATGGCATTTTTAAAAAAATCTTCTTCTCCAGAACCGCTGGGCCAGGAAAGATGAAACTCATGTGGAAGCATCCTCAGGTAGTTTAGATTCAAGTTTGTTCAAACCATGACCCCCGGGGCAAGGGTGGGGCCAAAATGGCCGACCCAAGTTTTACATAGGAATATATAGGAAAAATCTTTAAAAATCTTCTTCTCCAGAACCACTGGGCTAGGAAAAATGAAACTCATGTGGAATCATCCACAGGTAGTGTAGATTCAAATTTGTTCAAATCATAACCCCCGGGGCAAGGGTGGGGCCAAAATGGCCGACCCAAGTTTTACATAGGAATATATAGGAAAAATCTTTAAAAATCTTCTTCTCCAGAACCACTGGGCCAGGAAAGATGAAACTCATGTGGAATCATCCTCAGGTAGTGTAGATTCAAGTTTGTTCAAATCATGACCCCAGGGGCAAGGGTGGGGCCAAAATGGCCGACGCAAGTTTTACATAGGAATATATAGGAAAAATCTTTAAAAATCTTCTTCTCCAGAACCACTGGGCCAGGAAAGATGAAATTCATGTGGAATCATCCTTAGGTAGTGTAGATTCAAGTTTGTTCAAATCATGACCCCCGGGGTAAGGATGGGGCCAAAATGGCTGACCCAAGTTTTACATAGGAATATATAGGAAATATCTTTAAAAATCCTTCTCAATTACCACTGGGCCAGGAAAGATGAAACTGATAGGGAAGCCATCCTCAGGTAGTGTAGACTCAAGTTTTTTCAAATCATAGGGTGGGGCCAAAATGGCCGACGCAAGTTTTACATAGGGATATATAGGGAAACCTTTTAAAATCTTCTTTTCAAGTGCATTGTACTTCAAAGCTATGATTAGTGATACCCGGGGTATTTATATGGAATCATCCTCAGGTAGTGTAGATTCTAGTTTGTTCAAATGATGAATGCCTGGAAGGGGGGGGGGTAAATTCAAGCCCGATGTGCTCAGGTGAGCGCTGTGGCCCCTGGGCCTCTTGTTTTTAAACTTAACATATGAAATAAAAAGAACTAAACATAGCTAGAAATTTCAAATTGGAAATTTTGAGAAATATGTACATGCCCGTATGATGGCCTTATCTATGCTGAAATTAAAATAATCATTTCATCGACAAACACAATAATTATTTATTGCAGAGGAGAGGGGAGGAGGCGGAGGAAAGGCAAAAGTCTACAAACCCACGTCTAAACTGGCCGAGCTGGCGTCGACTTTCCAGTCTGTGAAGGAGGCCAAGAAACAGGATGACTACATGGATGATTCTCAGAGACCGGTTGGTTCTACGTATAGTCCCTCAGACCTAGGGTTTTATATTTAATCTCTCTGATCTGTCAAACCCAGGAATTATCTTTCGATTGCATCATTCATTTTCTACTTAGCTTCTTTTGATGTTACTTGCTTTGCTTCTTTTGAAAACTTGAATCATGTGGAGAATTGAAATAGATCGTGAATCATAATATTTTTTTCAGCCTGTCCCAGGGAAGAAGAAGACAGAAACAAAGAAAAAGAGTAATCTGGAAATCTTCAAGGAAGAGCTTAAGCAGTAAATACATTTATTGTTTAATTTTTAAAAAATTACATCAGTTTGATAGATAAGTGGGACTTTGCTTTGCTACCTAGTCCAGAAAAAAGTAACGTTAAATAAATGTGTGGGCTCTGCCTCTTGGTAAAAAAAAAAACTGTACACACAAATCAGTCGCCACATTTTAAAAGCGGAGTACTTTTATATATTTGAGTTGTCCAACAGCACACACATTTTACTTGGATTTTCAGAATGCAGCAGGAGAGGGAACAGCGGCACAAGATGAAGAAGAGGAACCAGCAGCCCCCCGACCCAGGGATCATTCCTCCCCCCATAGAGGAGCCTGCCCGGATCTCCAAGTTCGAACCCATCCCTACAGATATCAACCTTGCAGGTAACTCTTGTATCAGATGTTATAAGGGTACAGTGATATAGGCCAATGAAAAGATATATATGGAATGTACGTAATAGAATTCGAAGGAAAAAGAGTCACAAGTGTAGCCAACAATATGTATGTTAGGGTATCTTCAACTAACCTATTTTCGATTGTGCAGATTTAAAGCTTGGGCCCTATGATCCAGCAGATGAAACAACGACGAACATTTATGTTGGAAATATTAACCCTAAGGTTTGTATTCATATAGTTCGATCGATTTTATAGATTGTGATTCAGATACATTTAGTATTGATCAAACAGTAACTCTTAACATAAGTATTATATGTTTGATTTAGAAGTACTAAATTTCTTTAACGTGTGTAGATGACAGAGCAGCAGTTATGTGAAATCTTTGGTCGATTTGGTCCCCTGGCTAGTGTCAAGATCATGTGGCCGCGGACTGATGAAGAGAGGAGCAGGGGGCGTAACTGTGGATTTGTGGCCTACATGAACAGAAGGGATGGAGAGAGAGCACTGAATTCACTCAAAGGTCAGGAGGCTGTATTTATTTATATAAAAGTTGCATTTACATTCTAGTTTTGTGGAATGCGAAGCTTAAAAAACATTTGAATGAAACAAAAAGGGATAAATAGGTTGAATAAATTCTGATTCAGTAGAACAATTTGCCATGTGATTGTTGACTGTTGGTATGATAATTACATTCTGAAAATTTATACATTAAATATCAGAATCAAGAGAATGATAAAGACAATTTTCTTAAACTCTGTTTTGCTTTCTTTTAACAATACTGTATAAAATTAAGTACTTGTGAAAAAATTCTGTAAATATCCTACAGGCAAAGATATAATGCAGTATGAGATGAAGTTGGGCTGGGGTAAGGCTGTTCCTATACCCCCTCATCCTGTCTACATCCCCCCAGCTCTGGCAGAAATGACGCAACCTCCCCCTCCCTCAGGACTTCCATTCAATGCACAGCCGCGGGGCAGAGATCGCAACAGAAAGGGCTACGGAAAAGTCCCTCCCCTCTCAGGCCGGGACGAAGAGGGGGGTGGAGATAAGGTAATAGTCCGGGAAATAACGCTCAAATTTATTGTTAAATGTTTAGACAAAAGCTATTGTTTTATGCATCCCTTAGGTATTGTTTTTATTTGTATTAAATGTAGTTCAGAGCCCCCAAATTATTGATAATGTTCTATATATACATATACAAAAGTATTTAGTTTTATTGCTTTCTATGCATGATATGAATAGAAATGTCTATTATAAATTCGTGTTAAGTTAAATTTCCTTGAGGTAGGTATGCATTCTTTATCTGAAAATTATTCATTAAATGTCTTTTGTCAGGTAGGCTAGGGATTTATTATAAATAAACCAATTTTATTTTTAATTTAACATGATGTAGCTAGCAAAAATACTTAACACAACTTAATTTGGTTTTTCAACTGCGATTTCTCCAGAGTTTATCCAACGCTGTTGTCAAGGTGGTTATCCCAACAGAAAGGTATCTATTCTTAGTTTGTATGTTTTTGGTCTAAGAAATGCAAGGTTTGCAACTATAGTTAGGGTTAGGCTTAAAAACCACCACCGGCTTCAGAAGAATGGAAACAGGAACATGGAAAGAGAAGCTGAAGTAATTCATAAAGAATCAGAAGTCAACAGAAGAAGACTGTGATTATTGGAAGATTCTGTCAATTGTACAAGTAGAAACAGGGATATTGTGAATGACATAGTCATATATTTACAGAATTGTTCTCAGACATGTACTTTTCATAATACACTTAATGTGTTCAGTATGTATAATTGAGACTTTTTTTTTCAACTGACATGTAGTTTACATGTACATGTGCATATATTCTGATTGGGAAGGCAGCTTCTGTGTGTCCCCCTCCCATCACTACCCCTTTGTTTGGAATTTGTTGGGGCATTGGATTGAAAGAGTCTCAGACTTTTTTTCCAGTACTGAATTTTGGGGATTTTTTTATAGATTGGGTAAAAAAAATAACCAAATGAAATTAGAATGTTTTTTCAACTTCATTCCTCTGAGATATTCGGTCATTTTTTATTTTTTATTGGGCTACAGGTTTTTATCTGAAATGATCATATTCATAAATTTTCACATAAATAGTCACAATCACATCCATTATGAAGCAATTGTGATTATGTTATGTGTAAAGTACACACTTTTTTTCCACTCTTTATTTGGTCAGATATATAATCCCAGTATCTCTCTTACTCAAGATGCTTTTCCACATGTTATATGATATGAAGGATATTTACCACTTTTTCTACTTGTCAAAATATTGAAAATGAAAGAAAAAAATATGCTAAATATTGAAAATGAAGGATAAATATATGTGAAAATATTGAAAATGAAAGAAAAATATATGTTAATATTTTGTGGGTGTGTCCTTAACATGGGGAAAAACTTTTTTCCACTGTAACTTTTGAACAGTATTCATGGGTTTGCAGTATGTACGGGTATGAGTGTGCACTGAACATAATTACATAATGGTTATTTTTCTGATATAGATTCACAATTTTAAGGGAGGATAAAAGGACATAAAATAATTTCAGTATATCCATTATTTATAAAAAGAAGTTAAAACAGCCTGGTAAATGTATCATTTTGTGAAATCAAATATCTCATTCTTTATGTCCATTCTAAAAAAAAATTTGTGCTATTGTAAATTTTTTTTTATCGTTTTGTATTTACATGTTGTGTAAATTTAGACTGCTTAATTGAATTTCTGTTGAACTGGAGACTATCCTATTTGGATTAATTTTGCAATACATACATGAAAAAAAAAACTTGAAAGAAGGGGCTTTACTTTACAATTTACTCATGTTGTGTGTCAAACAATCATGTTCTCTCTCTCAACTTCACATCATTTGGAAAATATTTTTAATGAATATGGAATTTGGGAAAGCAGTGTGCTGTCATACCTCATTTGTTTACTCACTGGGGCTGTCAGAGAAAAATCTACAAAGAAAAACGTGTCAAACAACTTACTATACTATATGTATTTGGCTTTGATTTTTTTCAATTTTTTTGCTTCTGAATCTAATATAAACCTAAAATTATCAACATAGCAAGAACCTTGTTAGAAATGTAAATTGCCTTAACTACATCAAAAAAAAAAAATCTAAAATGGAATAACATTTGGCAAAATCAGATAATTCATTAAAATAATTGGGGGTTCTCTCTAGTGAAAAGGTTGCGAATTTGTTTTCGGTCTCTCCACAGAAACCTGCTGATTTTAATTCACCGCATGATCGAGTTTGTGGTGCGTGAAGGGCCTATGTTTGAAGCCATGATTATGAACAGAGAACTGAAGAACCCACAGTACAGGTAAACAGAGGGGCTAAAGGAATTCTCCCTGAAAGTTAAAAATGGTTCAGTAAATGTTAACTCTGGTGTAAAATGCTCATTTTGTTTCTTGTTGGGAAAGATGAAATAAAAGCTCATAGAAATTTCTCTCAGAATGGAATGCAGAAGAGTTCAAGTTTTTATTTATTGAACTAATTTTCTTTTTCTGTAGATTCTTGTTTGACAACATGAGCCCTGCCCATACCTACTATAGATGGAAGTTATTCAGCATCCTACAGGTACAGTGTCCCATACACATTTAAAAACAGCTGTTTTGCATGCTAATTTTGTAGATTCGTTTTAGCATTTGAATTCATTTAGATTCATAAAGACGACTTTGAATAAATTGCAAATATCCTATTGAAATTTACACCATCGTTTATGTATCTCAAATTGTGAAAGCAATTCTATATTTTTTTTATAGGGGGATTCCCCTTACAAGTGGCGGACTGAGGAGCTCCGAATGTTTAAAGGAGGTTCACTGTGGAAACCCCCTCCTATGAACCCTTACACACAAGGCATGCCTGAGGAACTGGTGAGGGAAGATGTCGTGGATAAAGTGGTGGAGCATCAGGCACCACCTGGCCCCAAGAAGGGACAACTCACAGATAGGTAGGTATATCTCAGAGTAATGAAACATCAGGAACCACTTGAAGTCAAGAAGGGAAAACTTAGAGATAGGTAGGTCAGGTGCCACCTAAAGTCAAGAAGGGGCAACTCACAGATAGGTAGGTATATTTCAGGCTAGAATGGTGGATCATCAAGCACCACCTGGACCTAAGAAGGGACAACTAACGATAGGTAGGTATATCTCAGAATTCAATCAGGCACCACCTGGGCTCAAGAATGGACAACTCCAGGTTATGTAGGCATATTGCAGAATTCAATGAAATACTGATATGTGACTAAGTTACAGTTTTTTCCTATGCTCTCTATGTTCTCATCAAAGCATGACAGGACTTGAACTAATTTAATGTATGGTCTTTTAGTCAAAGAGATCGACTGGAAGACATGCTGCGTGAGTTGACTCCAGAAAGAACAAAGGTTGGAGATGCGATGGTGTGGTGTTTGGACCATGCCGAGTCAGCGGAGGAAATTGTAGAATGTATCACAGAGTCCCTGTCTATTCTACAAACACCAATACCAAAAAAGGTAAATCAGCAGAGGAAATTGTAGAATGTATCACGGAGTCCCTGTCTATTCTACAAACACCAATACCAAAAAAGTATAGCTGCAGAAAATTTACCTGGCATCACAGAATGTTCAAAGAAGAAAAATATCATTCTGTTTGACATGGAATAACAGTATGGTACTCTAAACTGAAATCTTTATGAGGGTTAATATTCTATTTTCATTCTTTTTCAGATTGCTAGGTTATTTTTAGTGTCAGATATCCTTTTCAACAGCAGTGCCAAAGTACCAAATGCCTCTTTCTTTAGGAGATGGTGAGAATAATTTTAAAGAAAAAAAAATTTTTTTGTTAATACTTTCCAGATTTCCAGATACATTGTATGTAGACAAAGTAGGACCTAAATTAATAAAAATGTTTTGTTCTTCAACAGCTTTCAGCATAAATTACTAGATATATTCAAAGATGTCCATGAAACCTACGCTGGAATTGATGGACGTCTGAAAGCAGAACAGTTCAAGGTACGGGAAAGTTCGCATGAACATTTTTTGTAGTGTACGCGAGCACACAGTTGAAGCCAATTTGTTCACCCCTCCGATTTCATCCTCCTTTAAAATTCATTAACTTCACCCTTGTGGAAGAAAAGTGCATTTAAAAATAAGTTGATACTTAATACAAGTGTTATGCTTTCTAGAAAGGAGCTTTAAAAATTACAGTTCTAATTTTGTTTTTTAACTCACCTGAGCTGAAAGCTCAAGTGAGCTTTTCTGATCACATTTTGTCCGGCGTCCGTCTGTCTGTCCATCTGTCTGTAA